CCCCCGGCTCGTGGTGAAGCGGCAGGGCCCGGGCTGGGCACAGCCAGTGCCTTGCTACAGGAATATCGGAGCGCGGTCACTTTAATAGCGGGTGCACCCGCTTCCCACCCTTCCTGGGCCGGCTCCAGAGCCGAGTGGGCGGCCCGCGTGGTTGTTTCCTCTGGCGGCTGGAGCCGGCGGCGAGCAGAGGGAAGCGGGGAGTTTCCATCGCGAGCGGGCACCACCGAACTTCCCTCCCGCCCGCCCCGGGAACAGAAGCGAGCCGGTCCCGGGGAACTCCGGGCGCGCCCCGGAGCCAGGCTGGGGCTGGGGGCTGCTCTGCTCCCGGGCGCGGCTCAGCCCTGGCGGATTTCACCTCGCCCCGGGCTCCGCCGGGCGGATTAGTCTAGTCGAGGCATTGGCGGGGGGGGGGCTCCGGGTCCCCGCGAACCAGCTGGAGGACGAAGGACGAGGGTGAGTCTCCCTCCAGCGAGCTCCGGCTCCCCAGGGCCGCGTGGCTCTGCTCTGCCTCCCCTTCTGCTGCTGCCAGAGTCTGACCCGCCGCCAGCCCCCTCCCCGGCCCGCCCGGGACTGCCCGGGGGAGCGCCAGCGGCCTGCGCCGGCTGGGGAGAGGGGCAGGGAGGATGGCGACTCAGGTGAGCAGCGCCGATCTCTCTCCTCTTCCCCGGGCCCTGTAGGTGGCCTGGCCCTTGTCCTGCGCGGGGCTGTCAGCAGCAGCGCCCGGCAGGGGGAAGCTGAACCCTCCTGGGGTGACCTGGGCAGCTCCAGCGGCTGCGTCTCTGTCTGTTTGGGGAAAGAACTTGGCAGCCAATTCCTAGCTCCTTGCTTTACAAAGGGCCTGTGCTGCAGCTTGGGGGTGTATCTTGCATGTCCCTTCCTAGTGCTAGGCCAGTATGTAGCACCCCTTCTTCCCCCTCTCCAAAAAAGTGCCCTAAGGCCCCAGCTTCCCAAGCTCTGAATATGGGCCACAGCTCCACCGGTGGCTGGTAAATGTCTGTTGTGAGTCATCCTTGCACAAGGACTGCAGCCAAAAGTGGCCTGTTAGGCACCTGAAAGGAGCCGGTAAATATGGCCCTGAAAGCCAACGGGCTGCTGCCACTTCATCACTCAGGGCAGGCCACGCCTGGCTGCGGGGGTGTCTCCCCTCTGTTCAATGACTGGTGACCGGCTCCTTGTTCCCTTAGTTAAAAAATAACTGATGATCAAGGGCTGGAAATAGTCCCAGAGTTTGCTGGCGGGCATGGCCTCCCCACCCCCACAGGAGGAATGAGGACAGAGCAGAAGGAAGGGGCCATGAGATGAAAGCTTCAGGGTGTCACTGACTTGAGCTAAAGGTACTGGGTGATGGGCCCTGTTTGCAGAGGTGCTGAGCACTTGCAATTTCAGATGAAGTAAGTGGGATTCAGGGTTTCTGAATATTCCTGGAAATCAGGTCCCAAGACCTCAAAGCACTTCATGCATGTGGGGTGTGGCTCAGAGTCCCCAATTTACAGATTGGGGAAACTGAGGCACGGAGAGGGGAAGGGAAGCAACTTGCCCAAAGTGACATCAGCCCTGCCCGTGGGATCATGCTGCTTCCACTCAATAGCTGGCATCTGGATCCCGATGATGCAATCTGTTCCCATCGCTGGACTTGTCTGCTACATAGGAGGAGCTGGGCGTGGCTTTCGGCTCACTGGAGAGGTGGGGGAGGAGTGGTGGTCTCTCTGTCTTTCTCTGTCTCTAATGTGTGTCATCTTCTCACTGAAGTGACGCTCAGGGACGGGATGCAAGATGGCTGACCTGAGCAACATCCAGTCCGCAGCTTCCAAGAGTATCCGGCCTTTCCGGTCCAGTGAGGAGTATCTCTACGCCATGAAGGAGGACCTGGCTGAGTGGCTCAACATCCTCTATGGCTGGGATGTCCAGGTGGAGAATTTCATGGAGACCCTGGAGACCGGGTGTGATCTCTGCCAACATGCCAACAATGTCAACCGCATTGCTCTGGAGTTCCAGCAACAGCACCCAGAAGTTGCTGCCTGCATGAGGGTGCCCCAGAATGAGGTTGTCTACCAGGCCAAGAATGTGGTGCCCGGCTCCTTCATCGCCAGGGACAACGTCTCAAATTTCATCCAGTGGTGCCGGCAGGACCTGGGCATCCAGGACGTGCTGATGTTCGAAACCAATGACCTGGTGCTGAAGAAGAATGAGAAGAACTTCGTCCTGTGCCTTCTAGAGGTCGCTAGGAGAGGCTCCAAGTTTGGGATGCTGGCCCCCATGCTGATCCAGATGGAGCAGGAGATTGAGGAGGAAATGAGGGATCAGATCGCCTATGGGGGGCTGGAAACCCAGGAGGATAGCCAAGACCTGGGCCCTGAGTCACCTGTCTACCCTAGCAGGGTGCAGAGAATCTCCTTGTGTGACCTCAAGAACCTGGATGAGCTGGTGAGAGACTGTTCCATTTTGTTGGTATCTTGTGCCCCCAAGTAACGTACAAGCAACATGAGACCCTCTCCTCCCACCATTACCCACTGTGGCTCTCCTAGTGATCTAAGCCACTTTAGTGTTGTACTGGGGGGAGGTAACTGGAAGGCATTGGTTCTCTCCACCCATCATAGGCGTGCGCACGGGGTGTGCTGGGTGTGCCCAGGCACACCCTAATGCAGGGGTGGGCAAATGGCTCCACTCCCCGGCGCAGCAAGCCGC